AAACTTTAACAATTGAAAACCTGTACTTGAAGCAATTCTTTTAGCAGGACTCAAGTTTGATGACCATAACGTTAAGAAACCACCAGAATTATTTGAGCCCGGTATGAAATCGAATAAAACATTATATTTATCCAGTAAACTCAAATGTATATTTGTAAGTTTCGAAATTTTTGCTTCCTGAATGCACAAAATGAAACTGGGTGATTTTTTTAAAACTTGGCATTTTTTGATAAGTGAGTGTAATTTAGCTGGATTTCCTATGCTAAAAATTTTAACGGAAAAAATATCTGGTTTTTCGCACATAAAAATTTTGCTAAAACTTCCCTCCAACCAAGTCTTCTCCGTTATTTTTAGATTTCATTTTTGGCCCTTTCTTCCGTGTTAAAACTGACCAAGAGGTTGGTGAAGTTTCACGCTCTCTTTTTGTAAGCATTCTTCCGTCAGAGGAACATTTTCGTTTGTTATTTTCGATATTTAGTTTGTCTTTTTTTTCTTTTGCAGAGTAAGAATGAAAATCTACGACCTGATTGTTGAGAACCTCATCCTTTTGTTTTTCTTCGCTTGGAGTAGCTGCACTGTTTGTTTTAGATTCATCAATCAAAACTCCAGATGGTGGTGCTTCAACATTCTTATCTTCTTCATTTTCGGTACCATCACAAAACTTATCGATTGTTGTTTCGTCATCGTTTTTCTCGTCGCTGGCATTATTGGAGCTTGGTTTTTGTGGGTAGTGATTATTTGGATTTTTGGTTATTTGGTTCCCTATGTTACACCAATCATCGTGATGACCTTTTTCTTGGCGTCCAGACATCTTGCATTTTTGACATTCATGTAGTGAAGGTATGTGAAACGAGATTTCTACACCTTCCCACATTTTGAAGCCATCCATTCTCGATTTATAAGACCAGTCCTTCAGCTTTTTCTCTTGTTCTTCGTTTTGTATTTTAACTTCTAAAATTGCTCTTCCTGTGTAAACATACTGACCCGTTTCAGTTACGATACAGGTCTCACGTTGGAATATGGGGCTATGAATTATGTCTTCTGGCAATTGGAGAATTAATTTCGCTTCGATATCGTTGCATACATAAGGCAAGTTCGACAATTTGATTTTTGCTAGTTTAGGGTAAATGTTCTTGGGTCTATGAGACCTTGGAAAGCATCCCATGGGAAATACCGTCCTGTTAAGAAGAATGATTCCTTCGCTTTTGATGCTAGTTATGAATTGCTCTGCTTCGGGGGGAGCAATAACTGTCAGTGTATGAAGTTTGCGGTCATCTTTCGTCACGGTTATTGTTTTTGAGATTGTCATCTTCTGTTGCATTGTTGTGGGGAATTGTTTAAGTATATCGGAAGCACAACTTCGATATGCCTGAGCCAGATTTTCAGCTAACCTTACAATTTCTCTCGAGAATGGGGGGATGATTTTGATTATTTGGATTTGTTTTGTTTGTGTCGTCGATTTGTTTGCTGTTAGCGCATTTCTGAAATTTGTCTCCGTTTCAATCAGCACTTCATGTGTAATTTTTTTCTTATTTTTTTTTTCAAAGGTAATCAGAAGGTCAAAAGTATCATAGTAACCGAGGTTACAGTCATGAGTCCCTTCATCATGTATTCCAGTCAAAATCCTTGGAATTTTCTAGATATGGAAGTGATAATGATAAAAGAAGATGTCAAGTGTTTAAGTCCTTTTCATTTAAAATCGATACGGGTTACGCTTCTTCAATAAGAACACGCAACTCGACACGAGATAATATAATATACAAGTGTTACAAGTAAAAAATTTCGTCGAAAGTTATTTTGTCATTTATTGTTCCGAGTACGCAAGCGGCGTTCGCAATCTGTATTGCCAGGGAGATTCTCTGTTTTAAAAAGCTGCCTGCTCTGGGTTCCTCAGTGCAGATGCTTAGGTTCTTACAAAGCTTGCTCAAAAAAACTTCTGTGCTGGGGCCGGCCGCGCCCTGAATTTCAAAAGCTAGCGGTTGAAAAAGATATCCATCATTTACAAGATCTTTATATTTGTCAATTTTTCGCTCTTCCGCTTCAGCGGCAGCCGTACCAGGGTTACAAACAGACCCGGCATTAATCCTACAAGGAGCTAAGGAGTCTACTACCGTTACATCCCACAAGAGCTGCTTACCATCAGCCCATGGAACGAGCGTCAAACCGTCTGGTCGCTTCTGATCGGTCCTGTAGAGGTGTCGTGGTTCTAAAACAGACGGAATGTGAGTAGATGATAGACTCTGCTTTATAAGGGCATTCAGGTTTGAATGCCTAGAGAATCTCCCTGCACTTTTGAGGCAAGAAAGACCATGCCAACCATCCTCGGTAACGTCTTTTCCGCACACGCATTTATGCCGTTCGCATATTTTTGATCCTAATCGAAGTCCTATCGCAATTCTGAGTTGTTGGTTCGACAGTTTTAACCTTAAATTTTTGCAGGGGATGACGTTCAACCATTGGGATCCAAATCTATCTTGGAACGCGTTGAACCTTTTCACGTCCGTTGGTTCGAGTCGTAAAATCAAGTCTGCAATTTCGCTGTCAAAAGTTGGCTCCGTCCAATTTTTTTGGATTTCATTTTCCGGAGCCATTTCAATTTTTCCAAGGTCAAACCACCGTTTAAGCGCATCATCATAGGTTCCATCCACATGCTCCAAACCAAAGATTTCGCTCAAGGCATCTTTCGCTCCTACTGCTGAGGCTAAGAAAGCGGGTAAAGCGAGTAGACGAGCGGAAGAAACGCCCAAGCCACCTTTGGCTGCCGGGAGAACTGCTTGTAAAAACTGGTTATCATCCATTTTCACGTTAGTGACCTTGCATAACGAATTTCTTAGTAATTTATCGTAGCGTTCCAAAAAATCATTTTGCAAAAAACAAGGGCTCGTACGCAAAAAATATAGGAGTTTTGGCATGCTAAAGCAATTTTTCAGGAGGTAAAAATTATAATGGGCGTCTAGTTTGTCAAGGACATCCGAGATTTTTTCAAGCTCCCTAATTTTTTCGTCGAGTAATTCTTTTCGGCAAAGTTCGCCGATTGGAGATCCTAAAATGAGGAGTTCTTCTTTTGTTTTTATTTTTATTTTGGGGCATATTTTTCGAAATTGTGTTAAAATTGAATTATACTGTGTACTAGTAGTCGGTCCCAAAAAACAAAGTTCACACTTCTCAGTGTTTAAGCTCAGGCCGTAAATTTGTTCCGATTTCAGAATGTTTTTAAGGTCCCGGAGTACTACCTTATAGTCGTCGGCTAAATTCCCATCATCTAAATACCAGATGTTAATTTTCGACTCCAACTGTTTGACTAGTGTATGAATTGTTTCCGCAAAAAGGGGTGGGGCTTCAGGATCACCTTGCTGAGTTCCGTCTTCTGACATTATGACAGAGCTTCCGTAAAAAAGGTAACTAGGTTTAGCATACGCGCAATGGGTGTAATTATATAATTCGGGGCGATTTGAAAAAACATGATTCAGCATTGTTTCTCTGTTTAAAGAGTTAAAGGCATTCTTAAAATCTAGTTTTAAAAGAACAGTACATTTTGGATTGTCGTCGCGTTCAATTAGGTTTCGAAACGAGTGCGCAGCTATTTCTGCTCCTCGTTTGGTACCGCATCCTACCTGTACGTTTCCGAAAAAATTTTGTCGCTCGGAGAGGGCCTTGGTTCCAGCGCATTTAGACGCGATACGTCTCATCGTGTTGCCTATGGCAATCGGTCTCAACCCTCCGTCTATTTTTATGAGGGCGATAAGCTTTGCGCCAAAAAAGAAAGGTCTTAGTGGTTCCGGTATTTTGCCATCTCCAATGAGGTTTATCAGCTTAGTAAGCGATTTCAGAAAATTAAGTCCTGCACTGCCATTCGACTTACTAACAAGATCTTTAAAAATTTGAGGAAATATTTTATCAGGACCTGCTGCTGATCCGTTTGGAAAGGACATTATCGCTTTGTATAGGTCGAAATCGGTTACGAAAAAACTATCCAACTTTTCTGGATTTGGAGCTGCAAATTTGGCTCGCTGCGGGTGCTTAGATAACAATTTTTGATAGTTATCAGTTGAAAAAGGAGCTATTTTGTCATCCGAAGCAGCAAGCCTTATTCCTCCCTTTACATTTCCTTCATCGAGCTTACTACTTATTAACTTTATTCTCTGCTCGAGGTCACTCAGAGGCGGGCTTGAAACTTGGGGATGGGGTTTTGGAAGTGACACGTCATTTGCTCGAATTTTTTTATTTATCAAAGAGCTCATGCTTGTGGTCTGTTTGCGTCCACTTCTTTTCGGTTGCTCCAAAAAAAAACAAGAACGACGTTAAAAAAATTAGCCATTTTGTAACATCTTCTACATTGTAGACGATGTCATTTATTTTGTCCGACAGATTTTCCGCCAAGGGAACACGCGAGTCTTTTGGTACTCTCTTGAGTACTCGGACATTTGAGATGGCTGTATTAACATAATTGTCTAGCACTAAATCATTACCTATTGTTGCTTTATTAACAGATTTTACATCAACGCATAAAGGACACTGAAACCATTGGGTTTTCTTAGAGTCGCTAAGAGAAATATTTACACAACTGATATGATACCAACTAGAACAACAATCACATTTAATCCAATTTATCAGTCCTGAAGGTTTTAAGCAATCTTTGCTTGTACACTCTTTGTTGTTTTTCCTCATCTTGACGCAGCATAAAGGTAAAAAAAGGATTTTGACTGGACTTTAGGGGACTGAACTAACCCATGATAAGCGGTTAGTGGGAATTTTACAAATCAGCAAATAAAAAAAAAAAGACAACTAAATTAATTTAAAAGGTTAAAAGGCAGCATAAAGGTTAAAAATCAAAAACAAGGAACAATCTCACCCGAGCTCAGTAGGTTCAGCGGCGCACCACCAGACTTCTCAAGCCAGTTCCAGTTCCCCACCTCCCCACAGAAAGCCACTTGACAGACCTGTCTCTAAAATCCCTCAGAGGGCGCTCCACATACAGGCACAAACATCAAACATAACAAATCTATTTAATAAGTTTATCACAACAATTAGGCTAAATTGTTGTGATAAACTTATTTAGCCTAATTAGCCTTTGAAATCATGTGTAATTGGTAGCTGAGATTCCGTCAGCTGTTGTTGACTCATGACTTGGTTTTACTCAATGGGGGGCAAAAAAGCCTTCACCCGTAGGTATACTTGAAAAAAAATTAGATTTTTCTCTTTCAAAATGTAGAAATCAAAAGGCAAAAACATCAACTATATTGCACGTGCGCAAATTTTTTTCTATCTGAATTAGGGTAACTTACAAATTCTGAGCATTCGATTGACGTGTAAAATTTAAAATTTTTATGCATGTTTTAAAGCATAAAAAAAGCATCTTCGTAAGACTACTTTAAGAAACAATAGCACTTTGAAATCCAGTTCTAGATCTGCCAATCAGAGAGTCAAAAGTATCATAGTAACCGAGGTTACAGTCATGAGTCCCTTCATCATGTATTCCAGTCAAAATCCTTGGAATTTTCTAGATATGGAAGTGATAATGATAGATATGGCTTTCTTTTGATATATGGTTGAGCCTGCTACCGTTTGAAGACAACGACCATTTTAGCAGTTGGGAAGCAGCAGAACTTGAACGAAATTGTGCCATTCCGCCGGATGACACAGTATAACCTTCCCGCGACGAAAAAAAAAGTGACTAAAGGCCTTACGAACAGAAAAGTGTTGCGACGGAGGGTCAGAATGTTCTGGAATTTTTATTTTTAAAATTTCGATTTGAAGGAGAACATTTCTGAGAAATAGAAAAAAGACGGCCATTTTGAATAAAATAGAGAAAAATCAGAACGACGCCATATTTTGTGACGAACGGTTGTATCCGAGACGAGAAAATTACGGAGCCTCTTATCGTGGCAATAACACACGATAAGGACCTTAGTGACGGATATTTGTGGAGACGGAGGCTTCAGTGGGGGGAAGAGAAATACCACGGAACCCTCCCGGGACACGAAATATAGGAGATAAGAGTGTTGTCTCAAGAAAATCACGGGAGCGGAGGCTTGGTCCCCCAGAGACTGTTATATGTGAAGGGACTGTGTAAACTAGCCATAACAGTTGCTGTAATGTCCTAGATCTGAATTAAACACCGTTATTATTTAATATTTCAGAGCATGAGTAGATAGAGAAAGGAAAAGGTCAATCCATCTCCAATGGATTTAATATAAAACTGTCACACAAAAACATATAGAAATAGGTGGTTCGAGCCGTGTTTTTAATGACAATCACGTAGTCTGAGGATCCGAGACTCAGCTATGTGGTTGTGTTCGCATGCAAACGAAAGCTGATCAAAAGTCGTTTGACTGATGGCCTAAAAATAGTAACTTTTTACTTTGCCCTAGACAGACCAGAAAATCAACTGGCAAGGTCGAGACGGTGAAAAACGAGTGGAATTAAGGTAACTGACGCCTGCCAGTCGTCAATAGGTACTTTTTCTACGCTCCGTCGCTGTGTGATATTTGGGCGAATGTTACATAGACGTTTTTATGGCGCTCCTGGGTGGGCCTGTTAAAGGCATGAAACCATCATGATCAGCAAGCGTTTCAGCGACGTACCCTCCGCTCCGGGCGTATGCCCGAGTTAGAGGCCTTAATGACCGTTTTCGTACTAGGGGGAAGGTGCGTACCCCTCCGTCTAGTACGATTTAGCTTTTTAACTTAGTTAACACCGAAAATTCCGGGGGTCGGAGGGTTAGGTGGGAAATCTAGAGCCCGCTTGTCCTGAGGTCCCAGGACCAAAAACAATTAAAGAGAAAGCGTAAAACCAAACAAAAAATAGTGTATAACCAAGAAAAAGCCAAAAATAATTATTTAAAAACAAAAAAAGTACAAAAAACAGTAAAAAATCCAAAAAAGACCAAAAACAGTAAAAAAAACATAAAGTGACAGTTTATATGTTATTTCCGGACGAGATGTGATCTGACCTTCCTATTTGTTGTTGTTTCAGATTGATTTATATCGTTTCTGATAGAGAGATTGTGTGTTTTGGTGAAGGGTTGGGTACCCTCCCTCGAGTGTAATTTGAGTGTTTAAGCACGTTAATGGTGATTTTGCCGGTGACCGGAGGGTAGAGTGGCAGGCTGATCAACGTGTTCCACACTCAACAGGGACATCAAGGACAACATCCGCAACGACTGTTGGGTATCGTTGAAGCAATTTTAGTATCGTTCGGGTACTATTTCCTTAAAACTTAAGTGGTGGGGGGCACGATTGGCGCGGTCCGATTGTACCCTCCATCGATTACAAATTTCCGAGTTAAGGGTCTTAATTCGAATATTTTGGTGCAAAGGAGGGTATAGTACTATTTATTAACGACTATTTATAGATTATTGTCCTTACTATATATTACTTATCTCCTATTTAGACCCAAGAAACACCCATTTTTTGTCGAAAATTACCAATTTTCGACCAAACTGTAGACCCCCAAATTTTCGGATATCCGAGCTTTTCCGATAGGCAAAAAGCTTTTATATAGAGAGTAGCCACGTAGTTCGATCCCCTTTATTAAAGAAACCGCGTGAGCAAAGATTCAGTAGAAGTTAGGAAAACGAGAATTTTTCGACCAAAATTTTGATAATTTTCTGTATTTTGTCAATCTGTTTTGGGGATCGATTTTTTGAGTTTTTAGAGTTAGAGCAATAAAATTTTTTGCGTTAGGAGCGTGCTAGCATAACGTGCTCGGTTACTAGAGAAATTTTTGGGTAACCCTCCGAGTAGCTCCGTGGATAGAGCTAACGACTTAAGGTTTGGAAAAGGAAGGAATCGGAGGGTCCAAATTTGATAGTTTTTGGCCAAATTTTTATTTCTAAACCAATTTTGGTCCGGTTTTTTGCATTATTCCAGTGCCGTACAGGGCTACTACGCTCATTTCAAGTATTTTTAGGCACTTTCGACCGGAATTGCGAAAAAAGTCTTTCAGATCCTACACAGGTGGTGAAAAAGGCCATTTTGACGAACGCGTTTTTGGCGATTTCTCAAAGACTAGTTATCCGATCGGGATAATTTTGGTACCATAAGTCGACGTTTTTGACCACTTTTCCGAATCGCAACCGTTTTTGGGTTGATTATTTCGGAAAAGAAAAATTTTTTAGAATTTGTTGGTTCGGAGGGTCCAAGTAACGGGCAACCCTCCGAGCGGCAGAAAATTTTATCAAAACATCTTTTTATTCAACTGGGAAGGTTGACCGTGTCAGCCAACCTAGTCTTAAGTCAGGTAGACCGCTTTCAGAGGCTTTACTGCGGTGATTTAACCCTTTTTCTTGATTTTAGGGGGAACCCTCCGAAGTAACCCTCCGGAGTCAGCTAAACCCTTTAGCAACCCTCCTTAGTGGAAAATTTCCACGAGATCACCCTAAGAAGTTGAAACAGCTCCCCCTAGAACCCTTAGCTTATTTTGACGCTTTTTGAAGCTAGTAGGAGAACCTTCCAAGTGAGATCAGAAAATTTGAAAATTTTGGAGGTACCCTCCGAAGTGACCCTCCGGAGCGTATTAAGCATCTTATTGACCCTCCTTAGTAAATTTAAGGGGACCCTCCGAAGTAACTTGGGTGATTAAGATACCCTCCTAAGTAACTTGAGTGATTGAGGTACCCTCCGAGGTAACCCTCCGGAGTGTCTTAAACCTTCTAGCGACCCTCCTTGTAAGAGACTTGAGTAAACCTTCTGTGGCAATTTGGGAAACGGAAAATATCCATTTAATTAGGATCATATTAGGATATTAGGCGTGCTTATCAGGATCATAAGAATCCATTCTGACCCGGAAATTCGTGATCAACTTTGGATTCTATATTGGGTGTATTAGAAGTACCCGAACAAAATTTTTTTTTGATTGTGATTTTGGTTGAGTGGTTGCCTTGAGCTACTTAATAGGAAAGTTCGGGCAATCCGGGAACAAATAAAGGAAGACCTCGGTGGGTGTATTAAGCAAATACACACCCACTTGAGAAGAAGAATTGTTCCCTACTCTCGTGCACTTGGAGCAGTCCGAGTGTGGGAGAGCTTTTTCATAGATTTGACGAATTTTCGACCAAGAGGTTGCCTTGAGCTACTTAGTAGGACAGCTCGGGCAATCGCAGGACACCTAAAAGAAGACCTCGGTGGGTGTATTAGGCAAATACACACCCACTTGAGAAGACTGTGTCCTGGGCTTCGTTCTTTCGGATCGTTCCGATTGGGGGAAGTCTTTTTCTTTAAGACTAAGTTTTATTTATCTATTTCTGAATCATCACTGCTTTTTATCGAAGATTGTTTAATTTTAACAAAGCAGTGACTTGATAAATTGTGTGGCGATAAATTGATACTGACAAAAGGTCGCTGTCACCTGTAGGATATTCTTATCTGATTATCGATTGTGTTTTGTGTGTCGATTATATCTTGTGGAAACTTAGTGATACTGTTATACTATACAACCGGGTTGAGTTAGCATTATATCAATACTGGGTAGACCCTGTGTGTAACTTTAGCTGAGTCACTAATTTAGTCGTGAGAGATCTAAGAGACATTTTGATACTGACGGAATCGAGTAGGCAGCGTTAAGTGATTTAACTAGATCTTGTTTGTGGTACGTTTGCATTGCCATCAAATTACGAATACTTTCATTTTGTACAAAACTATGCAGCGCAGGGACTCGTTAGGATCGACTACTAAAATTCCCAGGCTAAGCAAGGGAAGCACGCGGAAATTTAGAACTAGGCGTAGCCAAACCTCGTTTAGCAGCGCTTCCGACGCGTTTGCTGAAGACGAATCGACTAAAGGTCAACCTGATCTTTCAGTGATCGAAATGAGACTAAGGAGCGAGAAAAACCTTGATGGCAATCAAGGGCGGAGCGCCGAGGCCGAGCCTGCGAGCGAAACGCCGGTGGATCCCTTTGACGAAGGGGAGCGAACGCTCATTCGACCCGACTTTGAGCCAGACGGGGTCCTCGAACGAGAGGAAGTCGAGAGGACAGAGGAGACCTCGGAGCGTTCCGAGGTCGAACCTCGGGAGGAGGTGTTGT